AAAGAGACAAATCTCTGGGTGTGTAATGTGTTTCAGTAGCAGGTACATTTCACTGTCACTTTAGAGTGTTCACTTCAGTTCGCTGATTTGACAGCCTTGTGAAACTGAGAAGACTCTGCTAGCAGCGTGTTTAAAACACATAAAGCTTCTCGATGAGGTGCTATGCCAAGATCCTGATCTAAGCACTAAAGGGCCCCAGTAGATAGAGATAGGCTGTGCAGATCTTTAATGAAGTAGTCACTACTTGAGCATCCTTGTGGGAATTTTTATGAAACCAAAAAAATGCAAATTAGCCCAGTGTTGCTGCAATAGTTGTCAGCATTGTACAACTTAAGCCTGGCTTACACAGACATATAAAGTTATTCACATCTGAGCATTAGAAAGGTGTATGTTAGAGGCTTCATTTGCATGTTGATGCTTAGATCAAATTTTGAACAGTGAATCATATTTTCGATTCTGTTACTGTAGTGAGATGTCAAAGACATTCACCCAAAAATAAAAGTTCTTTCATAATTTACACTCCCCCATATTATTTCAAAATGTATGATATTCTTTGTTCTGTGGAACATAGTAAAAAATATATGGAGAATTGTTTTTGCCCATACAGTTGAAGTCAATAGGCTCCAATAGTTTGGGTCGGAATGTTTTTCAAAATATCTTTTATGTTCAACAGAAGAATGAAGTTCATAGAGGTTTGGAACCACACGAGGGTTTTTTCAAGTAACTAGTAAAGTAACGCATTACTTTTTAATTTACAAGAGAATAAAAGAGTTACTTTTTTCAAATAAGTAACGCAAGTTACTTTTTTTCAGATTTATTGATTGACAGCTCTCCTGTCCCCATGTTGAGAGAAATCAGATGTTACTGTAGTTCTAAAATAAATATGAATATGCATTAATTCATCTCACTCACAAAAAAACCCCACACAGATTCAGTATTCCTCAAAATGAATAAAAATAATGTAACTCAGAATTAAACATAATTAAATGTTAAACAACACAATTATCTTTTATGTATTTAATCCCATTCTATTAACCAATGTCTTTGCTTCTGACCGTCGATGATCCAGTTTAACCGTACTAATAAGCAAAAATTGCTCTAGACAAACATTTGTGTGTCTTTTTTTATTGCTGAAGTGTGTTGAAATTTCTTCTTCTGCATTCGACTGAACGGACGTAAATTTACGTCCATAAAAAATTACTTTTTTATGGAGTAATGCAATATTGTAATGCATTACTTTTAAAAGTAACTTTCTCCAACACTGCCTGCACTTAGTGTGCATTGAAACATAATAATCAGTCCAGCTGATGTTATGCTTCAAGTTAGCTAAGAAAAACTATTTTTACGGTATGCTTGAGCAATTCCCTGAACCTAGCTTTATACAGTCTTAGTGTAATGTCTTGACCTTTAGAACATGGAGGAACATAAAGGAAATTGTCTTTGCTTTTATAGCATGTATATGAATTGCACTTTGCTACTTTTTAAGTACACAGAACATCAAATATATATATATTTCTACAAAGCAGCTGACCACGTAATCCATTTAGAAGTTTAACCTGCTTTTGCAGAATAGATTCACGTACTGTATGTTGAAAATGTAATGGAAATCCTTGAAAGCATGGAGAGCAAACCAAATGAAAAGTCATCTTAGAAAAAAAATCATTTCTGGGAATCTTGCTATTGAAATCAGGCAGGTAACTCTCAAAAGCACTTTCACAGTTCAAGGCTCAAGGTACTAATTATCTGCTGAGCATAATATATCACACAAATGTTGATTAATGACATTATTGAAAGTTATCATTTGGGAAAGCTTTGTGCTTCACTGGCTTTAAAGATACATCATTCTAAACATTATAAGACCATGACTGATATGTTGCCCAAGATGGAAGAATTCATGTATTCAATATCTCTACATTCAAATGTGTGGCAGAGTAAGAATAAAAAACAGACCTCTGAAAGTAAATTTTCAATAAAATAAACATAACTATGAAAATGGGAAGACTAAAGTTTCCAAATGGATGTTGTACTGTAACTGATTGGGTGTTAGATGTCCTCTAGGTACACACATTTTCCCTTCTAATTTCTCTTCTCACATTTTCCGCTAATTTCTCTTATTTTGTCCGTTCATCTGTTTGTAGAGAGTGCTGTGCCTGTGCCGTTATTAGACAGCTCTACTACTTTATTGCTCTCTAGTGTAGTATTGTTGAATCATTGATTTCAGCTTTGCACAGCCCTAAACATCATATAAAAAACAATGGGTTGGTTGTTTTACAAGTTGGTAGATAGGTGGTTTTGGTGGACTGGAAAGGTAATGGTCCAGAAGAACATTTTTGTTTTTTTCTTGGATTTACCAGTTAATAACTGAAGTTGGTTATAATCAAACTCTAATAGCAGAAGACATTTTTGTCAAACATACAGTAAGCTGAACAGCATATAGAATAAATACAAGTATAATAAATACAGTACCGATGAAAAAACAGTACTGTCTGTGGGACAGATACAGTGTAAGTTAGAAATACATTAACAGCTTTGTATCCTAAAGGTGAATTCAGTGTAACAAAAATAAAGGGATTTATGTATCTGAATTAGGGACTGGGTGTCAGTCATAGTTTTATTAAGGGGGTCAGCTCATCTCAGGTCCAGGAATCATAGCATTTTTTAATTATCATTTTAATTCAGAGTGTATGGTCGTAAATACATTAATCTGATTATGATACGTGGTCATTGGCTTTATAAACAAATCCATTTACATCTGTGCATGTTCAAACAAAGTTAAAGGGTTAGTTCACTCAAAAATGAAAATTAGGCCGTGTTTTACTCACCCCCGAGGCATCCTAGGTGTATATGACTTTCTTCTTTCAGACGAATCCAGTCGGAGTTATATAAAAAATTGTCCTGGCTATTCCAAGCTCTATCACTGCAGTCAGCAGGTGTTGCAGTGCTTCAGTCCAAAAGAAGTGAAATAAAAAGCGCCCATCCACACGGCTCCGGGGGGTGAACAAAGGCCTCCTGTAGTGAATCGATGCGTTTTTTGTAAGAAAAATATCCATATTAAAAACGTAATAATCACTTTAATGTAGCTTGCGCCAACCGTTGTACACGGAAGCAGCTTGTACACCCAACACCCGCTGACTGCAATGATAGAGCTTGGAATAGCCAGGACAATTTTTAATATATCTCCGACTGGATTCGTCTGAAAGAAGAAAGTCATATACACCTAGGATGCCTCGGGGGTGAGTAAAACACAGCCTAATTTTTATTTTTGGGTGAACTAACCCTTTAATGCTGGGTGATATCACAAACATTAAAGTCATCATGAAATGAAAATTCTTATTTTGTTATAGAATACTGCAGTCTTTATTATCAAATATTTTTCCATCGGGAGCTCTCCCCTCACAGCAATAAAAAACGACAATGATCCACTGATCCAAAGAATTCACAAAATCAACAAAATGAATGGACAAATCAATGGAAAAAATAAAATAAAAATCTTATTCAGAAAGCTGTTTCATTTTTGTGTCACAATACGGAAGACAAGACAATCACAACTTCCATTTCGTGATGACTTTAAAATGGCCTACATTTTGAAATTTGCCAGTCTTGTGCTGTGAACATACTGTAAAGGAGAATTGACAAGTTGCTTAAATTACAGTCCAAAATTGAGAAATTGAGAAATTGCATATTGCTATGAGAATATGTAAGCAGTTTTTTATGGAAATGATCCTTGAAAGTTGTCTCTGAAATAACTACTGAAATATCACGCCAATCCTGAGTAAAACAAAAAGTGGCCAGGTAATATTCTTTGCTTAGCCAAACAAAACAAGAATTTTGAGGCACATTTTGCCAGTCATTAATTTTGCACGTTCACATCATGCAGTCCATAGCCTATATGGGAAGCTAGAAGCTGAGTGACTTGAACAGTGGAGCAAAACAGGTGCAAAGCTTGCTTTACTTTTGCTTGTAAGATAAAAATATCATGGTGATCATCATCAAAGTGGTGAGGTTGTATATCCGAAGTCTTGCTGAAGTCCAGAACGACTACACTCCTTAAAATAAAGTTTTTTTTTCATTGGCCTCAGTGGTTCCACAAAGTTCTATCAGAAAGGTACATGTTTACATGGTATTTATTCCGTAAAGTGTTACAGATGGTGGTGAGTTACAATAATTCATGTATAGTTGTATAAAAGTTATTTGGCGTAGGCCCCATCCCTTATCCAAATCCTGAGGATGCAGATTTGGCTGATCCTGCCTGAAGATGAAGGCAGGGGCGGAGCCTACCGCCCATGGATGGACAGGGCCAACCTGGTGGTGGTGGGGAAGATGGAGGGGAACGTCATCGTCATCAACTGCGAAAAATGACACAGAGAATTCAGTGCTTATTTACTCCAGTTGTCAAGAAGTGATTGGCCAGACCTGTTAGTATAATTGAATGACGTGGCATTGGAGTCTTCCTGACAGAACTTCACATCCATGGAACCTTTTCATTCCACAAAAGATTCTTTCGATTATTCTTTTAAGAAATGCTCCCTGAAAGGTTCTTTGGCATCTTCTATGGCATCGCTGTGAAAACCCCCTTTTGGAACCTTTCTTTTTAAGAGTGTAGCGTCACTTGCACTTTGATTTTAAAAAATGACAGTGCATGCACATGTAAACATGGTCATTGTTATCTGAGAATGGGGAATATAAAATGATGTGGCTGATAAAAAAATAATAATCCTTCCACAGTTTTAATGGCTTATTTAGTTTGTTATATATTTTGGCTTATTTAGTTATCATTGTAAAGTTTTGCAATGGTAGTAAGAGACACATTCCTTCATCTTAAAAAATAAATAAATAAAATAAAAACAATTAACAGATGGGTGGATAGTGTCGTTTGCGAGTAGTCACGTCATACCGGTTTTCCTCCCTCTCTCTCTCTCTCTCTCTCTCTCTCTCTCTCTCTCAGACCACTCCTCTCTCCTCTCCTACCCTCCGATCACCCCCACTGATGATCCTGCTCTCCGGTACCGGGGACAGGGTCTCGCGCTGCGCTCGTCTGAGCCCGAGGAACTGGATCCGCTGTTTTACCGCCCTGGATTTTAATCCATTAAACAAAAATAAGGGACAAGGTGGATAGAATACAAGAAGAAACGCGCGGGCCGGAGCTACAGACTCTATCCCGTCACGACATGTCACTTGTCATGACAGAGACGTCTATGGGCTTCTTTGAAAATGCGTAACGAGAGAAGCAGATCGTTGGCAATGAACTTGCATTTCCATTCCTCCACATTAACGGGAGGACATGGCTCAATACACAGATTCCTAAAAGCTTTGGAACATAATTCTTTTTTTGCATGATCTCAGTAAGACATCAGTAGAGCAGTTTGTCAGTGCACAGCGCATTATGTCCGTTCAGTGCTGCATTGATGTAAGCCAAACGCTGGAGCGGAGGACAAACCGAACCGTCGTGTGATGTGACTCGTGCCTCTGGGATTAGTAGCCTACCAACCAATCTGTAGAAATAGTCTAATGGACAATTACTCAACGCTTCAGTGTAAGTAACCTTACCAAGTCTTTTGAATTCTAGTAGGCTATTGAAATGGTGGTGTATCTGGTATCTAATATCTGGTAATATTCAGATGCATGAGATCAAGCACTTAGGGTAACGGTTTAAAGGCCCCCCGTATAAATCTGCTGCTTTCTGCTGACAAATTAAATGTAGATTGAATTTTTTTTTTATTATTATTATTAATGGAGCAACACAATTAGTTTCTGTGCTGATTATTATGGGGTATGTCCGTAAATACCCATTTTAAAATATATAAATATAAATAAGTCGAATTAAAAATATATAAAATAAATACAATTAATTAACTAGTTCGTTTAAGAGGCGATGAGGCTCCTATAGTCCAGGAGGGGCTAGAATACTGTACATTAGAGATAGCAAGATGCTTTTCTGAGGAACAAATTCAAAATGAGCATTTCATGTTCATCTTATAACTCATAAATTGCATAACAAACTTCCTTTGTAACAAATCTGTTTGCACACTAATTTGCATTTTGCTGATTTAGTCAAATTTAGTCTTTTGTCTTTGTATGCAATGACTTCAGAACAATGTGCATAGTGACAAACAGGTATTTAAGAAAGTGCTGTGGTGATGTCTGTTGGTATTTAGAAACGATTTAAAACGGCCTCTTACTTTGCCTTTTTAATTCAATGTGCTCTTACAGTAGAACCCCTTTAAAATGTTTTACAGATTCACTGCAGCTTTACTTGAACAGGTTGAGTTAGTCTTGTAAATATGATACCTAGTAGCATCTTATCACTACTTAGTAACCTGGTATTTAGTCACGTGATTTAGAGCTTGACATTTAGTCAAGGGATTTTTCAGTCTTTACATTTCTTTATTACAGAAAAGTGCTGTGAAAACATGTGGATATGACATTCTGCCATACTTTTCGATATTGTACCTTCTGATACTGTACAAAAAATGTGATGTCACATGCCAGAATGGCAAAATCAACGGCATTACTCTTCTTCACATAGTCACTGCGTTAAATCATCATGTGACCTTATTAAACCACCCAGTTCATCTGTATCTCAGTTAAGTTAAACCAGGAACTAAAAGTTGAACCAACTGACTAAAACCAGTCCATTCATTACTAATCATTAATATCTCATATACCATTTTGCACATAATTTCCATTATTGCCACGGCTTACACTCTGGGTGAGACTTTCTGTGAATATCTTAGAGGGCCTAATGTTACTGAGAATACTGGGAGTTTTGTCAAAAAGAACAAAATGTCTTTTCAAAAGCTCCAAGTAGTTTTAATGTAATCGTTCTTAAGGTACACTGCGCTATTTGCACCTTTTTGACATTTTTAGTCGGAATACAAAACAAAACACTCATTGTTAAAAGTTATTTTATTAGTCAACCTTGGCAATAATGTTACAGTATGTCCATTATCCTGCAGTTCCTGGAACATTTAAGCAGATATTTTGTAACATAGCTGCTGCTGTGTTAGTTTCTCAGCCTGCTCAGAAAGACAACGCTATTACCCCTTACATGCCAAGCTGCCATATTCTGAGAAGGTGTGTGCTGCAGATAAGTTGCTGGACAGGTGTAAGCAGATTAGGGGTGGCAGTGCCTCATTCTGCCAGAGAAATAGGACCATAGCCGATGTGACGGCTGAACAAAAGCTGAGTGGCATGGCCGGTGGAGAGATGTTTGTATGATGGGCCTTGTGGCTGTCAGGAGATAAATAGCCCTCCGCTAGCAGGGGAGGGAGTTGGAAGGCCTGCTGGATCTGTTCCAGGAGCTTGGAGAGAGCAGGGGGAACGGAGGCTGTCACCAAGGGCACTGATACGGACTGTCCTGCTGCCAAATGCCAACCACTGTCCACGTATATGTATATAAAAAAATATGATTTCTAGGTTTTTCAGGCAAGATGCCTTCAGTGCAGCTATCTTCTAAAGACAAATAGTCCAATCAGCAGAATAGGACCAGCTTGCGCTGCAGCTGGGTTTATGTGTCTGAATTCGGCCTTGTACCTGCTGAGTATAGTCTGTCTTGTGAATAGATCTCATCAGTTACTTGCTACTGTGACAGGAATTTGCAAAAGGAACATGATTTCACACATCCTGTTAGTTGTTGTAAAGATTCTGCCAAGCTGTGTTGTCATTAAAAAAACAATCAAGTAGTAACATTATTTTGACATGTCGAAGTCACATTTTGGATGAACTCAAATTTGGATTCAGAATCCATGAAATTAGAATTTTAAGTGTTTAATAACTTACAAAATTGAGGCTGGGGGGGATACTCACAAGCCCATGTGCTTGAATTATTTAATTATGCATGCTTGATCAAAGCATGGGAGCTTATGGGGACATGCAGAATTTGTTATTAAAATTAAAATAGGTTTTAGCTCTTTTGAGTATTGTTGGTGGTTCACTTGGGCCATGTTAAATTCAATCCATTTCTCTCATGCAAATATTTTATAAATATTTTATAATTTTATCAATTTATTTGGGGACAATCAAGTGTGTTGGTTGCCTGACCCAATGTTCAGCCAAAATTTCCTTTTTTAAATTATGTTTTAATGAAATTATAAAATAAACAAATATGAATTTCTTCAAATGTTTTGAGTACATTAAACTCATTAAGAGACATTAAGACACTTTTTATGTTATGCTTTTTTATTTATTGATTTATTTATTGTTAAATAAGTCTGTATAGGTTTTATTCATTTTAATTTTACATCAAGCTAAACTACAAGAGAATGAGAAACGTTGCTTTGGCAACTAGTTACAATTATTTGTAGAATTATTAGATGATTTCTTTTTTTGAATGATTTCAGTTAACAGTTAATTCTATTTAAAGTAATGCATTTTATTATTATTATTATTAATAATAATAGTTTTAAGTAAAAAATTATAACCATGGTTTGCAGTGAGTGCCTGCCTGAATTTTATTTTATTTTTTTACAATTTTCTTCTGTTTATGTGTTGGATAGCTTGTCTCAAGCTGCATGATTCTCTCTGTATTTCTGCAATATGAATGGAATATATCATATGTGAATATGATACTGATGTGCAATGTCTGATTTTGACAAAATGCAAGACTCAAAATGTTATGTAATGTTACTAACCTTAGAAGTTTTTCTCTTTGTATGCTTGTGCAACACAAGTAAGACTAATGCTTTCCTTTATGTTGCCCAGAGTTTTGCCCAGTGATCGGCAGCCCACTGCTTCCATTTGCTAAGGCACATTACAGTACATTGGTCTGTACACAGTTGTGTCCTGTTCTGTCTTCTGAAGGTTTCTTTCAATGAAGACTATTTTCACAGCCCTAGGCTACCATTAAATCAAGCATAGAAGTGGCTTCATAAGATAAGTTCAGTCCATGCAGGTCTATTTTTTCCATGTACTCAGGAGCTAGATGTCCTTAGAAAACTAAAATTGTAATTTCCTTTTATTATATTCCTCAAATTGACCCTGTCACTCCTTTATGATTTCCGTAATAGTAAATCTTTATGGTAATAGACTTAATTAGCTAAATGGGCTTTATACTTGCCCCCATTGATTCAGTTCTTTGAATCTTTAATATTTTGTTTTGAGGTTTCATGCAACATTGTCAGAAGCCATTCATGGGCCTGTAGGCAGTGACAAAAAAGAAACAGCTCACTCCATTACCAGTATGTCTAAGGACATGACGCAACTATCTTTTTCTCCCCACACTTTAATTATACTAGTCTGCTGAGGTTTAGAATAAAGACTGTGTTTGGTGTTTAACCAAATTCAAATTTGTATTTATTTATATATACTATATATAATTTTATATATTTATAAAAGCACATATATGTTAAGAAATATCAGCTCTCTCCTCTGTGCTTCTGCATTCATCAGCGTACACTACACCGATCCTACTCTCTTGTGAATATGTGTACGACAGTTAGCAAATCTACAGAGGAGATTACAGTTTATAAAGTTTTAAATATGGATATTTTTCTTACACAAATGCATCGCTTTGCTTCAGAAGGCCCTTTTTAACCCCCCGGAGCTGTGTGGAGTAATTTTTTCTGATGGATGGATACACTTTTTTGGGCTTGAAGATCTCAACCCCCATTCACTGCCAAGCTGGAAAGAGCCAGGATATTTTTTAATAGAACTTCGATTATATTCGTCTGAAATAAGAAAGTCATATGGCTTGAAGATGAGTAAATCATGGGGTAATTTTCATTTTTGTGGGAACAATCCCTTTAATATGTATTAATATATATTACATTTTAATGTCATATACACTCTGATATGATAATCACAGGCAACCAAAAACATTAAAGTCTGTAAGTAATTCTAATTTTATGTTTCAACCAAAAATGGCAATAGAGGGGTTAAAGTGTATAGTGTACATAGTTAATTTACAATGGTTCCTATTTACGTACCAGACAAAATATTTTTACAGTTCATATGTGTCACATTGGGACCAACCAGATGTGATTAAGAGGAATTGAAGAGCATTTGCATTAGAAGGGCACAGGTGCAAACAGTACAAACAGAGATAATGTTTCACCCCTGCACTCTGCTGCAAGCTGATTTGTACAGTTGTGTGTTTAAAAACAGTTTATTTAAAACCATCAGATACCTGTTCAAGCTGTATTGTACTGCAGAGCATATATGTGTAAATAATCCTTAAAATTGTCATTTATTAGCTGTTTCCATTAGTAGCAGTAAGGTGAAATCAGGTAAATTTAACTAATATTTGAAAGAACACTGTATATCACCAGTGTTAATGATTTAAGAGGCACAATATAATAAAGCAGTTTAGTTACACGCACTTCAGGCTGGTCTTTGCCATGCGGCATGTGCTGATTTTGCTGTTCTACTAAAAAAACACATTTAACATTCTTACAGCGTAACATTCTCTGAGATTAGAGAAACCCAGCAGTTTCTCATGCAGAAAATAAAGCCCATAGGGCCTCATCGGAATCATAATGTCATGTTAGGTGCAGAGTAAACAGTCTGCTGATAGACTCACAAAAGCATTATTTAAGC